CAAACCAGCCAGCCCCCACCCATGCACCAGGCCTCTATCCTATATAGTAAAAGGGTAAAATGCAAACTGACCCTAACAGCAGAACGACTGGGAATGACTGGTCACAATGACACACACTGACCATCAGCGGCAGATGCTCAATGCAGGAGCTGCCCCCTGGTGGTCAGTGTGCTCCCGCATGGGGGATCTCTGCTCAGCCACAAGCCAGGCTGATGGCTGCCAGTACAGCGGTGGTGGTGGGAGCCTCTCCCGCCTCCTCCGCAGCGCTAAGGATGTCCGACTGCAGCTTAGGCCTGCTCCCCGTTGGCAAGTGGACATCCCCTGAGGGCTGCTGGGCTGCCAGAGGGATGTCTGACTGCCAGCTTGGGCCCGATCCCCCAGGGAGCGGCCTAAGCCAGCAGGTGATCATCCTCTGAGGGGTCCCAGACTGCAAGAGGGCATAGGCCGGGCTGAGGGACACCCCCGATTGCACAAATTTTTGTGCACCAGGCCTCTAGTCTCTATATATAAAAGCCTAAGCCACTGTTCACCCAGTAGCTATGACGCACACTGACCACGGGGGGTAGACGCTCAACGCACAGGCATGGAAACATGGAACAGACTGATGAATCTCAGAGGGGAGGAGAACGAGGGTGGGAAGAGACTACCAAAGATCTTATATGCATACTAGAGGCCCAGGGCATGAATTTGTGCACAGGTATAATCCCTAGATCTGGCCTGCGGGGATTGGGCCAAAACTGGGTCTCTGACATCCCCTGAGGGATCCCGGATTGCAAGAGGGCACAGACCAGGCTGAGGGACCCCACCAGTGCACAAATTCGTGCACCGGGCCTCTAGTGATTATATAATATAGGACATACCCATACCAAAGTCCAGTTAGGTGCCCACCGCCCATCATTTTTGTTGTTTGTGGGTGTTCTGTTTTTTTAAATCCTCCATTGATATTTAGAGAGAGTGTAGGAAAGGGGTGATAGAGAGAGAGAAACATCAATGTGAATGTCACATTGACTGGTTGCCTCTCGCACATGTGACCGGCTATCGAGCCTGCAACCGAAATTCATGCCCTTGACTGGAATTGAACCTGCAACCATTCAGTATGCTGGCCAGTGCTCTATCCACTGAGGCAATCTGGCTAGGGCTACCCATTAGCTTTTCCTTCAAATGTGTTGATGACAAAAGCCCAGCACAGAAGTAATTCATTTTTGTTAAAATGTGCACATGTAAACATGTATGTCTTTATACACACAAAATCTACAAGGACATGCATTAAAATGTTTACAGTAATTTTTTCTGGGTAACATAATTATGGTTGAGTGTTCTTTTTTTGTTGTTTGTTTTTTTAATAATGAATCAATATAATTATTTTTAAATACATAGTGTATATATTTTTTAAAAGTTACTTAAAAGTGCTTTAAATTTTTATGTTAACCCCTAGAGTGCCAGGGAGCATGATCGCACTACTCCTGTCTTTTGCCAAAAGTGCCAGGAGCGCTATTGCACTCCTCCTGCAGTGTCCAGTTTTAAGTCTGCTTTTATTAGTGATGATGATATTGCTAAATATGTCAATTCTTGCTGTGAAGATGACGATTTTGTGGAAGATATTGAATATGTAGCTTCATTTACTTGCGATTCATAATTTTTTTCCTAAACTGCTGTAAAATCAGCAAAAATGCCCTGGCAATTTTAGCATAGTTCCTAGGATATTGGTTGGCACTCAAAGGGTTAACAACTACTTGTCCATTCCCACTCTCAGACATCGGGTTCTCTTAACTCATCTTTACCTCACAGTAACAGAGCCCTTCTCCATTAGCTTGGCCTCAGGTGGTATGGGAGGGAGTAAGGGTCTCATCCTGGCTTTCTGCCCTGGCCCCAGATCATCTGTGCTAGTCACATCTCCTTGCTCTCTCTGTCCTGTCTGTACAATGTGTACTCCCTAGGGATTCTCTCTCTCTCTCTTTCTCTCTCTCTCTCTCATTGTGTGCTCCCTATGGATTGTCGCTCCTTTTTTAAAATATATTTTTATTGATTTCAGAGAGGAAGGGAGAGGGAGAGGTAGAAACATCAATGATGAGAGAGAATCATTGATCAGCTGCCTCCTGCACACCTTCTACTGGGGATCGAGCCTGCAACCCAGGCATGTGCCCTGACCGAATTGAATCCAGGACCCTTCAGTCCACAGACCGATGCTCTATCCACTGAGCCAAACCAGCTAGGGCTGGATTGTCTCTTTTTAATAAATTTCTTACTTGGTTTTAACAGTTCAGTATGTGTTTCTTTTTTATTCACTAGGGCGAAAATGGGATGGAGGATTGTGTTACAGCCCTGGAAACCTTGTTCAGTGTTCTGCTTTCTCTGTGCAGACTGATGGTAAGATTCTTTGCCCCATTCTATAACTCATCCTGTGGGCTGCTCGCAGCGCCCTATTGCTTCATGTCTGTATTCTGTATTTGGTCCACCGGAAATAGAAATTGAGTTTTAAAGCAACTTAAATCTCTAGTTCCTTTTCAGAAATCTTATGTGTGTCAAGTAAGGACTAAGCAATAGTTTGAAAAGTTGGGTTTTGGGGTGATTTCAGGGGGAGGTTGATGGGAGGTGAAAGGAGGGTTTAGGGGGGATAAATGGTGATGGGAAAATTAAATAAAGGTGGTGAAAAGTTAATACTATAAAACAATTTGGATTTTTTTTTTCTTTTCACCACTGGCAGTATGTTTCAGGTCAAGGTTCTTGCATCTAGATTGAATTGCCAAAGTTCTCCTAAATATTGGAGCTCTTCACTGTCATTGTCACAGTGAAGCTCTTGAACTAACATCTCACCAAACATATTACAGTTGTTTTACTTGATACATATTCCTACCAATTAAAATATTAATTAAATAACATACAGTATATTTGTACTTGTTTTAATTCCTCATATCCTATTTCGGCTACTCCAGTGGTTGGCAAACTCATTAGTCAACAGAGCCAATTATCAACTGTACAACGAGTGAAATTTCTTTTGAGAGCCAAATTTTTTAAACTTAAACTATCTAGGTAGGTACATTGTTATTAACTTAATTAGGGTACTCCTAAGCTGGCCTTTGCTAAAAACGTCCTCAATCTGATTAAGGTACGTTCGCTGAGGTCGACCCCTTCCAACTCTCCCATCCACACTCGTCTTGTATAATTGTTTCATCTATCTCCTTTCCGAAAACCAACTTCTGCGCATGGGCCACGAAGTTTCAATTGCACTGTACGTGCGCGCCCACACGTGATATTTTGTGGAAGAGCCACACTCAAGGGGCCAAAGAGAGCCCGCATGTGGCTCGTGAGCCGCGGTTTGCCGACCACTGGGCTACTGCATTGTCAATTATATGCCTTTTGTATATTTCCTAAACATACACAGAATGAGAGTCTGCTTTGTATGAGGTCTCGTGCCTGGTTCCTCACATCTTTTCTCATTCATTTTTATCCTAAGAAGCAGGCTGTATTCCCCCAGGTTGCAGATGAGGTTCTGACTTTTGGGGACATTGAGTCCTTTTTATATTGACTTTGCTGGCACATGGTCAGTGACTCCTTTTTTTTGTTTGTTAATTAATTTACAGGGGTGAAATTGGTTATTAAAATCATATAGGTTTCAAATGTACAATTCTATGACACATCATCTGTATATCGCACTGTGTGTCCACCACCCAGTCAGATCTTCTGTCACCATTTATTTGATACCCCTTTTCTCACCCCCTTCCCTGCAATAACAACTATACAGTTACCTGTGTCTGTGAGTTTTTGTTTGTTTGTTTTCCTTATTTGTTCATTTGTTGTTTTCAATTTTATATCCCACGTATGAGTGAAATCCTATGGTTCTTAGCTTTTTCTGTCTGACTTCATTTTGATTCCATGATATTCTCAAGATCCATCCATGTTGTTGCAAATGACAGTGTTTCATCTTACAGCTGAGTAGTATTCCATTTTATATATGTACCACCTCTTCTTGATCCAGTCATTGATCGAAGGACACTTTAGTTGTTTTAATGTCTTGGCCACCATGAATCTGCTGCACAGAACCTAGGGATGCATATATCGTTGCAAATAAATGTTTTCAAATTTTTCCGCTAGATACCCAGAAGAGGGGTTGCTGATTATATAGTAACTCTATTCTTAACAAATTTGAAGAACCTCCGTACTGTTTCTGCTTTTCATATTTGCTGTAACAGTTTATATTCCCATCAACAATGAATGAGGATTCTTTTTTTTCACAACCTCTCCAACACTTGTTATTATTGTTTTCTTATTGATAATAACATTCTAACAAGTGTAAGGTGGTGACTCATTCTAGTTTTGATTTGCATTTTCCTAATAGCTGATGAAGTTGAGCATCTTTTCATATGTCTGTTGGCCAGTTCTATGTCTTCTTGGAAGAAGTGTCCAGGTTTTCTGTCCCTCTTGTAATTGGATTATTTCTTCAGTGTTGTGTTCTTGATATATTTTGGATATTAACTGCATGTCAGAACTATTGTTTGCAAATATTTTCACCCATTCCTTTCTGTTTTTGTTGTTGTTGTTGTTGTTGTTGTTCATGGTGTCTTGCTGTTCAGAAGTTTTTTAGTTTGATATAGTCCTATTCATTTATTTTTGCTTTTGCTTCCCTTACCTTTGGAGTCAAATTCATAGAATTCTCCGTAAGACCAAGGTCCATAAAATTTAGTACCTAAGTTCTAATATATATGGGTAAACACTAATTTGCTTCTTTTGCATGTGGCTTTCTAAAGTCCCCAGCACCATTTATTAAAAAGTCTTTCTTTTTTCCATTGTATGTTTTGGCTCCTTTGTCAAAAATCATTTGCCCGCATACATGTGGGTTTGTTTCTGGACTCAGCTCTTAATTCTGTTTCCTTAAGTTTTGTGTCTGTTTTTCTGCTTATACCATGCTGTTTTAATTATTGTTGCTTTGTATAATTTGAAGTCGGGGAGTGTGATATCTTCGGTTTTGTTCTTTTTTCTCAGGATTGTTTTGGATGTTTGGGGTCTTTTGTGATTCAATACAAATGTGATGATTTTGTGTTCTATTTCTTTTTTAAATGCCATGGGGGTTTTGATAGGCGATTTTATTAAATCTGTATATTGCTATGGATAATATGTCCGTTGTAACTATGGTGATTCTTCCAATTTATAAATATGGAACTCCTTTCCAATTTATTATGTCTTTTTCAAACTTTTTAAATAATATCTTGCAGTTTTCAGTGTACAGGTCCTTCACATCCTTTGTCCAGTTTATTCCCAAGTATTCTACTTCTGTTGCAATTACAAAAGGATTTTTTGTTATTGTTGTTCATTTTTTAGTTTGTTTTTAAAATGTCATTGTTAGTATATAGGAAAGCAGATCAGTGTATTTTTGTTTATTAATTTTGTATCCTGCCACTTCCTGCATTTGTTCATTGTTTCTAATAGTTTTTTGGTGGTGTCTTTAGAGTTTTCTATATAAAGAACCATGTCATCTGCAAACGGTGGCACTTTCACTTCTTCATTCCCAAATTGGATGCCTTTTATTTCTTTCTCTTGCCTGATTACTCTGGCTAGGACTTCCAGTACTATTTTATCCTAGAGGCCCGGTGAATGAAATTCGTGCACTTGGGTTCCCTCAGCCCTGGCTGTGCCCTCGTGCAGTCCGGGAGACCTCGGGGGATGTCCGATTGCCACAGAGGTGGGAGAGGCTCCCACCACCGCTGTTTCGCTTTCCAACCGTGACCCCGGCTTCTGGCCGAGCGGTGCTCCCCCTGTAGGAACGCACTGACCACCAGGAGACAGCTCCTGTGTTGAGTGTCTGCCCCTGGTGGTCAGTGCACATCATAGCGACTGGTCAATTTGTATATTAGCCTTTTATGCTTGCGGGATCAAGCCGTAACTGGTTCTCCGACAACCCCCTAGGGGGTCCCGGATTACAAGAGGATTCAGGCCAAGCCGAGGGACCCCCCTGGTGCATGATCACAGCTGGGTAGGGACGCGGGAGGTTGGCCAGCCAGGGATGGATCACGGGAGGGGTCCAGGGTATATGCAGCCATCTCGCTCAGTCCTGGTTGGGCAGATCCCAGCAGCAAGCTAACCTACCACGCAGAGTGTCTGACCCCTGGTGGTCAGTGCACATCATAGCGACTGCTCAACCAGTCGACTGTCTGCCCCCTGGTGGTCAGTGCACGTCATAGCGAGCGGTTGAGCGGCCTTAGCATATCATTACCATATTACTCTTTGATTGTTTAAACGGATGACCGGACACTTAGCATATTAGGCTTTTATGCTAAGTGTCCAACCGGTCGCTGTGAAGCGCACTGACCACCAGAGGGCAGATGCTCAATGCACTGACCATTTACAGAGAAATGGCATTGCAGACCTTGCACCCACAAAGCAGCACTTGGCTTCCCCCAAGTGGGACACAGGCCCCACCACCACCCCAGAGTGACAGCCCACCAAATCGAAGCTGATGCTGCCGAGACCCCATGGTGCAAAATGCAGCCCACAACCCAGCTCAGCCTGGAAATGGTTGCTGTGGACGCCAGGTAATGACGTCACGTAGCAACGCCTGGCTTCCTCTCCCTAGTTATGACTAGCCTCCTTGCAGTTTTTTCAGCTCAGGAACACGACTTCCTTTATAGCCAGGTGCAAACATTTCACACTTTAAATGTCTGTGAAGTGTTTTCCCGAGCCTGATCTCGTTTGATCTTCACAGAAGTCCTGGAGTAGGTAGATAGGAGACTTGGTGGAATTCTTTTTTTTTTTTTTTTTTCATTAGCTGGAAAACAGAGATTTAGAACGTTTAGAAACTTGACCCGACTGAAAAGAAATTAGAAATGATGGACCTTGAAATGACTTCAGGTTTTCTCACTGTGCAGAATATAGTCAAACACTGCTGCAGTTAAATATTTTACCCTTTGTTCTCTCTGTATGATCTACAATAATAATCTGCTTTGTGTTGATATTTACTGCTGTGTTGTTGACAATTACTTGAAAGAGAAGTTGGGTGCTTCACTGGGCTGGAAAAAGTTTAGCAAAATCAGAAAGCAGGTCTAATTAAGCAAATTTATTCTGTATATATAAAAGGCTAAGTTGATTTGTGTATGTTGAACCATCCTTGTACCTTGAAATGAACCCTTGATCATAGTGTATTATTTTTTAATGTACTATTGTATTCGATTTGCTAGTATTTTATTTAGGGTTTTTGCATCTACTCATCAGAGATATTGGTCTGTAATTTTATTTTTCTGTGTTATCCATGCCAGGTTTTGGTATCAGGGTTATGTTGGCCTTATAAAATGTATTAGGAAGGCCGAAACCGGTTTGGCTCAGTGGATAGAGCGTCGGCCTGCGGACTGGAGGGTCCCAGGTTCGATTCCGGTCAAGGGCATGTACCTGGGTTGCGGGCACATCTCCAGTGGGAGATGTGCAGGAGGCGGCTGATCGATGTTTCTCTCTCATTGATGTTTCTAACTTTCTATCTCTCTCCCTTCCTCTCTGTAAAAAATCAATAAAATATATTTTAAAAAAAATGTATTAGGAAGTATTGGCTTTTCAGTTTTTCAGAAGAGTTTGAGCAGAATATGTATTAAATATTCTTTGAATTTTTGATAGACTTCACTGGTGAAGCTATCTGGTCCTGCACTTTTGGATTTTAGGAGGTTTATTTTGTTGTGGGGAGTTTAGTTTGGTTTATTTTTTGTTTTGGTTTGTTTTTGTTAATCCTCACCCAAGATTTTTTTTTTACATTGATTTTTATTTTTAGAGAGAGAGTGGAAGGGAGTGGGAGAGAGTGAGAAACTTCAATGTGAGAGAGACACATCAGTTGGTTGCCTCCTAAACGTGTCCCAATCAGGGTCCTGGATTGAGCCTACAACTGAAGTACATGCCCTTGGCAAGAATCAAACCCAGGACCCTTCAGTCTTTGGGCCAGTGCTCTACCCTATGAGCCAAACTGGCTATGGCTTGTTTGTTCTTTGTTCTTTTATGTTTTCATTGGGGTTTTTTTTGAATATTCAAACCTTTTGTTTATTTACTTATTTTTTAATCTTTATTGTTGAGAGTATTACAGGTGTCCCGACCACCCTCTCCCCTCCTTCCGCTGAGATTCATCAGTCTGTTTCATGATTCCATGCCTCTGTTTCCACATTATTCATCAGTTTATTTTGTTCATTAGATTTCTTGCATATGTTACTTGTGTATGTGAAGTGTAATACGGTGTGGTCTGAAGCTGTCTACTGAGTGCACTGGCAGGAGCTACAGAGTGATCTGCAGATGGCTGCTATTTGTATTGGGCTTGGAAGTGCCCAGGCGAGGCCCAGCTGTGAAGCAAGGCAGGCTGCTGCTAGTGCTGGGTCTTGGGCTTCTTATTAAGAGGTATAGAGCATGCTGATGCCAGCTTCTGCTTGTTTTAGCTATTTTAGGAAAGAACTGAAGCCTGAGCAAGGACAGGCCATTCATATGGAAAAGCCACTACAAAGAGCTTATGTGGGGCTGCAAATTGAGTGGGGCAGGGTTTTAGAACACCAGGGTGTAGCGTACAGTGTGAGCAAGGTTGAGGGAGACAGATATGACACCTGTCAGTCAGCTCTGGGGCGGGAGGGATTAGGAGGGAAGTCTCAGCATAGGAATGATGAACCCTTGTGAGCACTCCTTTCTGGGAGAAAGCGACATTCTAGTTCTTGCTCTGCTGCCAGACAATCAAGTTCCTTCCCATATGTCCCTGGATCCCCCTCCCCCCCAAGTCACTGCCCCAACACTGGAGCTCAGAGG